ATGTTGTCCATAGCTTGCCATGATCCACACAATTGAAAGCCTTTGCGTAGTCAGTAAAGTATAGGTTCTTGGTTCAAGCCCACCAGTCACTCTGCGGAAGAAAGACGAGGCTTTCTGCTCCCACAGAGGAGTTTTGTAGAATAATGGGACAGTTTTCTATCTTGATTATGGTTGTGGTTACATAACAGAATTTTTAGAACGATACACTAAAAAGGGTGAACTGTATAATAAGCAAATTTCATCTTAATAAAATGCCTTAAAAAGATGACTGTTTAGAGCAAAAAAAACAATGTATTATAGAGTTTATAACAAGCAGAGAAGTAACATACAAGAGTTCATGGACAAATTCCATTATCTTTTCATTTCATTTTTCTTTTTTAACTTTTTATTGTGAATTGAGTGAGGGTTCAGAGAGCCGATTATCAGTAAATGCACAGTGTTTCATCTCAAGTCCAGTCCCTTCAGTGTAATATCACCTAATAGTCTGTTTCTTGTCTCCATTCCTCCTTCTTTTCCCACCCTTCTGAATTTTGTCCGTAAGTAAATGCTGCCCTTTTGATCTCAAATGTTTGACCATTCTATGGTGTGGGTTAATTCACTAGTGTTATTGTTCCCCTAAATACCTGTGCTGTGGGTTAATGCACCGGACTTCAAAGTCAGTGTGAATTGCAATCGGTTGCTTAAGCTCACCAGCCGCTCCTGGGAAACCCTATACAGGGTTGCTGTGTGACAGAACCAACTCAATGGCACTTAACAACAACAATGAATACCTATCTATGGCTTGGCTGAAAATGGAGCCACAGAAATAATTTCAGTCCAGACCTGAAAGGTCACCCAGGGCCATAGTCTCGGGGTTCTATCAGTATCTATCTGACCAATGAGCTTGCTCTATGATTTTGAATATTGATCCACATTTTCTCCACATCTACCTGTTGTTGTTGTTGTTGTTGTTGTTGTTAAGTGCCGTCGAGTCGATTCCGTCCCATAGCCATCCTGTATAGGGTTTCCAAGGAGCGGCTGGTGAGCTTGAACCACTGACCTCGCAGTTCAAATGACTTTGCAGTCTGACACATTAGCCCACAGCGCCACACTAGGAGCTCCTAATGTAGCAGAACAGTTGGTAGTGGCCACTGGGCACCATTTAGTTCTTCTGGTCTCATGGTCATGGAGACTGATGTTCCTGTGGCCCATTAGTCCCCTGGAGGAAGTCTCCCCTACCGCCCTCACCACTCTTCTTTCCTCTGCACAGAAAGAGACTAATAGTTGCACCTTGGATGGCCACTCATGAGGGTTTTATAAAATGTTTTATTGTAAATTATGTGATAGTTTACATGGGAGAACATTAGTTTTACATTCATCCTATTGTATATCATTTCATTGCCATGGTTACAGTCCCCTCCATGCATCATCAAC